TTCAAGACCCACCTGGGCAGCAAGACCTCATCTCTACAACAAATAAAAAAATCAGCCGGGCGTGGTAGCGCATGCCTGTAATTCCGGCTACTTGGAAGGCTGAGGCGGAAGGATTGCCGGAGCCCAGCAGGTCGAGGCTGGGCGACAGAGTGAGACTCCATCTCAAAAAAAAAAACCCAAAAAAAACCCTAAAGTCATTAATGGAGTAGACATTGAAATTTACCCTCTGGAAGAATTTTGGAGTGAGTAATTAATTGAAAAAAAAATTAAAAGAAAGAGACAAAAGGCCAGGTATAGTGGCTCACGCAAGTAATCCCAGCACTTTGGGAGGCAGAGCAGGGAGGATTGTTTGAGGCCAGGAGTTCAAGATTAGCCTGGGCAACATAGTGAAACCCCTCTCTATATATAAAAAATTATCTGGGCATAGTGGTATGTGCCTGTAGTCCTAGCTACTTGGGAGGCTGAGGTGGAAGGATCACTTGAACGCTGGAGATCAAGGTTACAGTGAACTGTGATTTGCACCACTGCACTCCAACCGGGGCAACAGAGTAAAAAAAAAAAAAAGTAAGATAAAATGTCTATTTATTTTACTAATTTTTTGAGAATACTTTTAGACTTACAGAAAAATTGCGAAAGGAGTATAAATAATTTTCCTATATGCTTTATCTGTTTCCATAATGTTAAAATGTTTGCCTGGCTGGGCACGGTGGTTCATGCCTATAATCCCAGCGCTTTGGGAGGCCAAGGTGAGAGAATTGCCTTAGCCCACGGGTTTGAGACCAGCCTGGGAAACTTGGTGAGACCTCGTCTCTACAATGAATAAAATAATTAACTGGACATGGTAGCATATGCCTGTAGTTAGCTACTTGGAAGGCTGAGGTGGAAGAATCACCTGAGCCTTTAGCGTGCCACTGTACTCCAGCCTGGGCAAGAGTGCGACTCTGACTCAAAAAAAAAAAAAATCTGCCTGAAGCAATAATTACTATGGTTGTTGCCAAATAGTAATTTTCCCACCATTCTACATTTTTTAGTTGGAATTTTATAGTAAGGAAGAACTTTACCCTTTTCCTAATTAATTAATTAATTCATATTAGTATGAACTTTGCATTCTGATTTTAGCCACTGGATTATAATGTGTAATCATTATTAATTTATTTTTATTTAAAATTTTTTTCAGAGACAGAGTCTTGCTTTGTTACCCAGGCTGGAGTGCAGTGGCATTATCATAGCTCACTGCAGCCTTGAATTCCTGGTCTCAAGTGATCCTTTGTCTCAGCCTCCTGAGTAGCTGGGATTACAGGCATGAACCACCATGTCTGGCTTTATTATTATTAATTTTGATGTTCGGTTGTACTAGATTTCGCCAGTAAGAGCCCTTCACATTGACTCATACGTCTGTGTTTTGCATATCCCATTATCCTTTGAGTATTCCCTTTCTGGCATAATAAGATGTTCCAGGATCATCCTGTACTTTTCTTGTTTTAGCCCTGGAATCATTTCTCCAAGGATGTCTGTCTCCTTTTAGTGGAGAATGGTGTTTAGAAACCATGAGATGAATGTTATTTTCATGTCACTGAATATCATATCATATCCTTGATACTGAGTGTCATTGCTTCTTGGCTTTCTGAGCAGAAAAGTTGAGGAAATAATTTTTTTCACTATCTCTGAAAAGTCATGGATTCATACTGATGCCTCCTATTCCAATTCAACATTGCAGGATTCATTTTAGTCTTCCCCTTCCTGTATTTGTAGCTCCCTTCTCTGACAGTGAGGAATCTGGCCTCACATTATCCACAATGTTTACTTATTTTGTTAAATCCTAGAATATATATAAATAGTTTCAAAGTTGCAAACTAACATTACTGTGAAAAACAAACATACTCATTGTAGTTCAGTATTTGAATATAGTTTTTTTAATACTTAGCCTGAGGATATATGATTCAAATACAGTTTTCAAAAGTTACTTTGGTTAGCTACCCCCCTTCTCAGTGTGACTAGGTTATTAATTTGAGATCCAGTTAGGTGTATTTGTTTCTGTTTGCTTTCATTTAAGTATCTTTCTTCTCCCCATCCTTGTTGATTTTCTTTTTTTTTTTTAGATGGGAAAATATAGGTTACTTAGAAAGTAAGTTACAGAGAGAGAGAAGAGAGAGGAGATTCACCTCCCCGTGGTAGGGGAGGGGGCCAAAGTCAGGAAAACCCATTTTCTTTACTTATAAAGCATGTGAAACAATAACAGAAGGTTTGAATGTCAGGACTATACCTAAAGGTATACTCAGAGAAGTGTCTCACATCCCTTCTACCCTGTTCCCATGCCTCCATACTTTGTACCCATTCCAATCCTTTCCTTTTTTTTTTTTTTTATATTGTAGAGTTGGGCAACCTCCTTGGGTCCCCTCCCACTGTGGGAGCTTTTCTGTCCTCTCAATAAATTCTGCTTTCTAAAAAAGAAAAGAAAAGAAAATTGTAGAGTTGTATTCAAGTGAGGATTTACTACAAATAAGTGAGTTGCATTCAGGTGAAGGCTGGGCTTCCAGGGGGCCTTTCTTCCCCTGATAGTGGACCAGGTACCCAGTGAGTTGTTACATGCCTGCCTCCCTTCTCTAGCAGTATACAGTATCTGTTGATCCACCCTTGTGCTCATATGACCAGTGATCAGAGCCTGCTTATGAGTAAGAACATGCAGTATTCTGTTATTTGTTTCTGTGATAGTTCACTTAGTATGATGATCTCTAGGTGCATCCATGTTGTTGCAAAGGCCATGATTTTATTATTATTATTATTATTATTATTATTATTATTTGAGTTGGAGTCTCACTCTGTCACCCAGACTGGAGTGCAGTGGCTGCTCCTAGCCACCGCTGCCTCGACCTGCTGGACTCCGGCGATCCTTCTGCCTCAGCCTTCCAAGTAGCTGGAACTACAGGTGCACGCTACCACACCCGGCTAATTTTTTTGATTTTATTGTAGAGATGAGGTCTCGCCTGCTCAGGTGGGTCTCGAACCTGCGGGCTCAGGCAATCCACTCACCTCAGCCTCCCAAAGGTGCAGGATTACAGGCAGAGCCACCGAGCCCGGCGATTTTATTATTCTTTATGACTGCATAACATTCCATCATGTATTTATATCACATTTGCTTTACCCAGTCCACTTTCGATGGGCATTTGGGTAGGTTCCATATTTTTGCTATCATGAATAGTGCTGCAATAAACATATGTGTGCAGGTGTCTTTTTGGTAGAGCTATTTATGATCCTCTGAGTATATTCCCAGAAGAGGAATTGCTGGATCATATGGAAGCTCAATTTTTAGTTCTTTGAGAAATCATTACACTACTTTCCACAAAGGTTGAACAAACTTGCATTTCCACTAAAAGTGCAGAAGTGTTCCCTTTACTCTGTAGCCACACCAGCTCCTGTTTTTTTGGGGGGAGGGGTTGGTTTTTTTTTTTGACTTTTTAATGATAGTCACCCTTACCAGTGTTAGGTGGTATCTCATTATAGTTTTGATTTGCATTTCTCTGATGATTAGTGAGGCTGAGCATTTTTTCTTGTGTTTGTTGGCTGCTTATATGTCTTCCTTTGAGAAATGTCTGTTCATATCCTTTGCCCACTTTTTATTGGCCAACCTATTCCTTTTATATAACCAATCTCATTAATTTCTACTTTATCCTTCCTGTATTTAATTTTTCAGAAATGAACAGGTATATTTTATTTCCTTCTTGTTTCTTTTTCTTTTTTTTTTTTTGAGTTGGAGTCTCACTCTGTCGCCCAGACTGGAGTGCAGTGGCCGCTGCTCCCGGCCACTGCAGCCTCGACCTGCTGGGCTCCAGCGATCCTTCTGCCTCAGCCTTCCAAGTAGCTGGAACTACAGGCGCGCGCTATCACACCCGGCTAATTTTTGATTTATTGTAGAGATGAGGTCTCGCCAAATTGCCCAGGCAGATCTCAAACCCATGGGCTCAGGCAATCCACTCACCTCAGCCTCCCAAAGCGCGGGATTACAGGCTGAGTCATCGAGCCCGACTCCTTTTTTCTTACACAAAATGCATCATATTATAGATACTCTTGCATTTTATCTTTAACTTAACTATATATCCTAGAAATCACTTCATATTAATTCATAGAAATCTTCATTATTTTTCTTTATTCCTGAAGAGAACACCAGTGTGTGGATACATTATAATTTATTTATCCAATCTCAAATGTTTTCAATATTGTGTTTCAATGAATAACCTTGTATATGTGTATTTGCATTTTTTTGAAGGTATATTTTCAATTTCTAAAAGTAGAACTACACTATATAGTATTGCTAGACATTTACAAAATTTCTCTTCAATAGGGTTGTGCTAATTTGCATTTCTCTTAAAAGTGTTTTTTCTGATACCTAGGCACAGAAAAATAATTTATGTTTCTACTAGCAATTTATGATTGTATTTGCTTCCCCGTAGTCTAACTAATAGAATATGGAGGTCATAGTTTTCAATTTTTTGTCAATCTGTTAGGTGAGAAATGATATCTCAAGGTAGTTTAAATTTGCTTTCTGTAATTATGAATGAGATTAAGCATCTTTTTATATGGTTAAGGACCAATTTATTTATGAATGTATGGATTGATTGATTGATTGAGTTGAGATCTCTCACTGTTGCCCAGGTTGGAGTGTACAGCTCGCTGCAGCCTCGACTTCTTGGGTTCAGGTGATTCTTCTGCTTTAGCTTCCCAAGTAACTGGGACTTGTAGGCACATACCCCCCCCCTGGCTACTTTTTTTTTTTTTTTGCAGCGATGATGTCTCTCTATGTTGCCTAGGCTGGTGTCAAAGTCCTGGGCTCAAGCAATCCTTCTGCCTTGGCCTCCCAAAGTGCTAAGATTACAGGTGTGAGCACCATGACCCACCCCAGAATTTTTTTATTCCAAAATGTTGCTTTGGGAAGAAAGCTCAGGAGTTACACTGAAATGCTACAACCATGCCGAACAAATAATTTTTTCTTATTGTGTTCTTAGTTCCACTATATTTTTATGAAGCAATGTGTAGAAAGTAGTCCTATAGTACCTATTCAACAGGAATGGCTGGATCATATGTTAATGCTGATACCCAAGTCTTTAAAGGAAGGAAAAGAAAGAGAAGACCTTCTTGAAAGTCTCATAAATGAGGTGTCAAGTGACTTTGAAAACAGCATGAAGAGATATTTGGGTAGGTAGCATTTAACCTGCGACCCCCCCCCCCATTGAATCAAAAGTAGAAATAAGCAAAACAAATAATGAACATTGTATATTTAATAATTTATTTGTTTTTTGAGTTGGAGTCTCACTCTGTCATCCAGACTGGAGTGCAGGGATGCTCACGGCTACTGCAGCTTCGACCTGCTGGGCTCAGGCGATCCTTCTGCCTTAGCCTTTCAAGGCTGGAACTACAGGCATGCATCACCACACCTGGCTCGCTTTTTTTGTTTTATTGTAGAGATGAAGTCTCACCAAGTTGTCCAGGCGGGTCTTGAACCTTGTGGGCTCAGACAATCCTCTCACCTCAGCCTCCCAAAGTGCTGGGATTATAGGCATGAGTCACCACTCCCAGCCCGTTTATTTTTTGAGTTGGGGTCTCACTCTGTAATTTATGCTGGAGTGCAGTGGTAAGCTTATAGCCACACAACCTTGACCTGCTGGACTCAAGCAATCCTTCTGTCTCAGCCTTCCAAGTAGCTGTAGCCACAGGCATGCGCCACCACACCTGGCTAATTTTTTGATTGATTGTAGAGATGAGGTCTCATCATGTTTCCCTGGCTGGTTTCGAACCTCTGGGCTCAGGCAATCCTCTCGCCTATGCCTCCCAAAGTGCTGGAATTACAGGCGTGAGCCACCACACCTACCTCTCCCTTTCCCCCTCCCCCTTCTCCTTCCTGTCCCTTTCACTCCTCCCTCCCTTCTTTTCAGTCAGGGTCTAACTCTCACTCAGGCTGAAGTACAGTGGCACATTCATGACTTACCACACAGCCTTAACCTCTTGGACTCAGAGGGCTATTCTTCCGCCTCAACTTCCCAAGTAGCAGGGACTACAGGTGCATGCCACTATGCTTGGCTAATTGCTGTTTTTTTAAGAGAAAAGGTCTTGTTTTGTTGCCTAGGCTGGTCTCAAACTCCTAGGCTGAAGCAATATTTCCACCTCAGCCTCCCAAAGTGGTGGAATTACAGGCGTGAACCATTGTGCCTGGCCTTATATATTTATTATATATATATTATTTTTATATAAAGTTTTTATTTAGGGTCCATAATGTAGTCAGAATTCTTGTTTATTATTTGTTTATAGCTCTTTGATTTTTAATAAAATTATCTTTACAATTTTAGCTATGCTAAAATTTGTCAGCAAATATTAATGTATGTTAAAGCTTTATTAAGGGCTTAATCTTTGCAATTTTTAAATTTTAAATAGAGACGTGGTCTCACTATGTTGCCCAGGCTAATTTTGAACTCCTAGATTCAAGCAATCCTCCTGAATAAATTTGTTTTCTTTTTTTAAATTGACAAAAAATTGTATATGTTTATCATGTACAATATGTTGTTTTCAAATATGTATATATTGTGGAATGGCTAAATTGAGCAAATCAACATATACATTACCTCACTCACTTATTTTTCCATAGTGAGAACACTTAACATCTACTCAGCAATTTTCAAAAATACAATACTTTTTTTTTTTTTTTGAGTTGTAATCTCACTCTGTCGGCCAGGCTGGAGTGCAGTGGCATGCTCATGGCCACTGCAGCCTCAACCTGCTGGGCCCAGGCAATCCTTCCACCTCAGCCTTCCAAGTAGCTGTAACCACAGGCGCGCTCACTACAATGCCTGGCTACTTTTTTGTGTGTTTGTGTGATTTATTGTAGAGACAGTATCTCGCCAAGTTGTTCAGGCTGGTCTTGAACCTCTAGGCTCAGACAATTCTCTAGTCTCTGCCTCCCAAAGTTCTGGGATTACAGGCATGAGCCACTGTGCCTGGCTACATTGTTATTAACTAGTCACCATGTTGTACAATAAGCTTATTGAAATTTTTCCTTCTATATAACTGAAATTTTGTATCCTTTGACCAACATCCTCCAAACCCTGGTAAACACCATGGTTAATTTTTCTTAAATGGCCATGCCAGTGACTTTTGAGTAGATAGACTGCAAAAACAAAAACAAAACAAAACAAAAAACTGAGAACTTAGTAAAGCATTTCTGTATCTGAACCCAAAATAGTACCAAGAGCTTGATTTTCTTTCAAATAAAAGAGTTTTTTCTTATTCTCATTTGAATGCACAGTATGCAGAAACTTTGGTATGAATAGGTCTTGCAAAGATTTTCAAGAATTATTCATATATTTATGTATTTTAGTGCAGAGTGTTCTTGTGAAACCACCAGTTAAATGGCTTGAAGATGAAGGTGGTCCTTTACCTGAATCTCCTGTGTGAGTAAATTATTGATAAAATAGTACTTCGTCTAGTTTTTGATACAGATTGAAAATAAACTGATCTTGCATTCAAGTCTACAATTGTGAAGCTCAAAGGTATTTTGAACACATCTAAAACAAGTGTTAGTTGTTTTTTTCATTTGTTTTTTTCCTGAGAGTTATCCTCTATCCTATGCTTATTCAGTTCTGCATACATAACTAGGGGACCTTTATAAATGCGTAGCTCAACTTGGCCTTGAGTATGCTTTGGTGTATGCCAGATAGATTTCTCCAACCATTTTCCCTAGTCCTAAAGACTGTGTTCTTTCATCTCTACCTGAGGTAACTGAGCCAGAGTACAGTGGAAGTTAGCAGGGCCTGGCACATCAGTCTGCCTTACTCACAGATTATTTCTGTTCTCTCTGAGGATAATGCACTTTAGAGATTTTGGTGTGTTTTATTAATTGTATATATCCCAAGGCTCCCATTGCTAACCGTAGATCCCTCTTCTCAACTCCTAGTTTTGTCACTTTAATACTTATTGCATATCATAAACATTATTGCCTATAATTTAGAGTGTATTGTTTTAATCATGTTTGATATGGTGTTTTGCTTTTCCAGAGTCCTAGATTATTCTAATCCTTGGCATTCTAGCTATGTGCAGGCAAGAAATCAAATATTATCCAACTTGCACATTGTTCATCCAACTATGAAAATATTACTGGACCTTGGCTATAAAACATTTGCTGATACAGTTTTGCTGGACTTAACAGGAATTAGGTAAAATTCTGCATTTATTAGTTAAAATTTAAAATTGGAATGTCTCCTTGCTTGAGTCTATATTTTTGATTAATAATTAATTTGTTAATAATTTTTTAGGCTGATTCCTAAATCTTGAAAACTTTTCTTTAGATTTTAGATTTAAAACTTTTTATCATATTTGTTTCAACTAGTGTGAACAAGACCAATATTTATCATTTGCTTCAAATCATTTTTTCTTTTTCTCATAAATAGAGCTAAAGGCCCAATTGATTGTGAATTACTGAAAACTGATCTGTCGATACAAGCTAGAAAAGCAGAAGAGAAGATAATGAATACATGGTATCCAAAGGTTATAAACCTCTTTACCAAGAAGGAGGCATTAGAAGGTATTAAGCCTGAAAAATTGGATGCATTTTATAATTGTGTTTCCACACTTATGTCAAATCAGGTAAATGCATTTTATATATATGTCAAATGATATTATTAAATTTAGTTTAGTATTTTAAGTATAATTCTATTTAAACATAGTACTAAGTAATTATTTTGAAATAAGTTAAGAAAAATATTTACCCTGTAATTATATTTAAATAAGTTTAGCAGAAAAATCCTGAATTCCTGAAGCAATCTAAAATGAGAGGAAAGTCTAGAAGCATGTGTCAGTATTGTGAGCGATGACTTGACTCATGCCTAAGGGCTATAAACTAATTATAACTTTATTGTAGTATGTTAACAAAAGAACTCTCCTAATAACACATTTTTTTTTTATTAATCAGTATTTTTTATTATGGTTTTGTGGGGTACAGTTAAGGGTTAGGTGTACAATTACGTTTCATTCAGGCACCCTGTTGATAAGAGGTGTTTTCCCATCCCCCGACATATATTTACTACTGTTAATCCCATCCCCCTCCCCCCCATAGTTTCCCAGTACCGTCAGTCATTTTCTTATAGTATTACATTGGATGTTCAAGGTCCATTATATGAGTGAGAACATGTGATACTCAGATCTTTGTTTCTGTGAGAGGTCACTCAGTATTATAGACTCTAGTTCCATCCAGGTTGCTGCGAAATTCATGATTTTGTTCTTTTTTATGGCTGCGTAGTATTCCATCGTGTATATGTACCACAGTTTTTTAATCCAGTCCTCTTTTGATGGGCAGCATGGTTGTTTCCAGGTTCTTGCTATTGTGAACAACGCTGCAATAAACATACGTGTGCAGGTATCTTTTTTATAGAGTGATTTGTGTTCTTCAGGGTATATTCCCAGTAGGGGGATTGCAGGGTCATATGGAAGGTCAATTTTTAGAGCTTTTAGGAATCGCCACACTGCTTTCCACAGAGGTTGCACTAGTTTACACTCCCACCAACAGTGTAGAAGTGTTCCCTTTTCACCACATCCTCTCCAGCAGCTGTTATTTTTTGAGTTGTTGATATTGCCATTCTGACTG